CTTTAGTTAAGAAAGTCAGGTAGTGTACTGATGAAGACACCTCTGAGATGTTCAGCTTGAATCCAACATTGAGCTGCTTAGTTACAACAGTGTAATAATTTACTGTACTTTTTCTAAAAGTAATTTTATGAAACCCTAGTCAAAAGCATGATGGTAATTTCCAGCCTCAGAGCATGAAGCAAGCTCTCAAAGATGCAAGGGGTTCATTAAGCACACACAGAAACAGTGACTTTGTGCGCTGCAGGCTCTCTTTATAAACAATTTCTACATAAATATGGCTAAAGGTGATGAGGAAAAAATGCTTGGCACTTCACAAAAAGCCAGTTTCAGGGTTGGGAGTCAGAGGAGAGAGCAACCTGTAAAGATGTAATGCTGTAACATTCGCTTTTCATTAAGCCAAGCCAAACAAGACAAAAAGGGCAAACTTGCACATTGTCTCCCTAGAGTCCGTAACTCCGTGCCTGAGATCTCCAAAGGGAGGGTTCACGTTAACCTCAGTTGTGTCATATTTAACTTGGCTCTCTTTGTAAATACCACACCTTTTATATTTCTGACTCTCCCCATTTTAATACTGCTGGTTTGCTACGTGGAGGTTTCTTGTCCTACTTGTGATTTCTCTGAAACATACACAGCTTGTCCTCTTGTCTGCTGCTGAACTTCTAATCTTCAAACTCTCGGTAGGTGCTGATTGTGTCCCATTATTTAGATGTTGCACGCAGGGGTACTGCATGATTTCCAGAGGGTGAAAGAAAATGAGAGGCTTGAATCAATGCTGTGAGATCTCAACCTGTGAGGGAAAGCTCTAGGGCACTCCTTGTGATTCCCAGAGGGACTTTATATTCAAAAAAAGCAGTGAGAAGCCCTATGCTGAAGCCTGCTTGAGGGTTCCACTGCTGGATTCATATGTACTATTTTGATTTCTTAACCCCATGTGAAAAAAAAGACTGTTGAAAAGAAGGGTTTCCTCAAAAACATGACCTTCAGTTTATTTTCCCAGCTGCAAAATGCCTCAATTGTCCATCTCATTGCCTTTTACACCCTCCACCCTGCCTTGCCCCACGGCTGTGACGAGGGCCTAGAAATAACTAGGCTCTACTCAGCCCTAGTGAGGCCGTATCTGGAGTGCTCTGCCCAGTTCTGGGCTCCTCAACAAAAGAGAGACACGGAGCTCCTGGAGTGGATCCAGCAGAAGGCAATGAAGATGATTAGGGGACTGGAGCATCACCCTTATGAGGACAAACTGAGGGAGCTGGGCCTGTTCAGCCTCGAGAACAGGCGACCGAGAGGGGACCTCACCAATGTACATAAGTGTCTGAATGGAGGCTGTCAAGGGGATTGATCCAAACTCTTCTTGGTAGTGTCAAGCAGTAGGACAAAGAGGCAATGGGCAGAAACTGATGCACAGGAAGTTCCACCTGAATATGAGGAAGAACTTCTTTACTGTATGGGTGGCCAAGCACTGGAACAGATTGTCCAGAGAGGGTGTGGAGTCTCTCTCACTGGGAATATTCAAGAACTGCCTGGATGCAACCCTGTGCCATGTGCTCTAGGATGACCCTGCTGGAGCAGGGAGGTTGGACCAGATGACCCACTGTGGTCTCTTCCAACATTACCCATACTGTGATTTTGTGATAAGGAATTTTGTGGAAGCTCACTTCAGAAAAGTGATAGATGGACATGGACCTCTCTGGCAGGTTGTTGCCTCTGCATTCTGCAGCCATTCTGGAAGTGAGTAAGAGTGGTGGAAACCTTCAAGCTGAAGTGATGCTTTGAATTTGTCCCAGAGAAACCTCTACCATCACAAATCATCATTCTGCCCAAGGTTAATTGTTTTATTTGGCTTTGGAGAAATCTGCCACACATGTACATAGCATACCACTTTCTTCCCGAAGGGCAGATGTCTTGAAGAGGCTGCCAGGCCTCTGTAGCTGTTGGGACACGGGGCATGAGACATTTAAAAAACTTCAGCTCCTTGCTGATCAAATGAGATATATTGCTTTATGCTGCTGCTTTTCTAGGGTTTCTGCTCTCAGGTTCCACTGCTGTCTGTCAGTGACTATAACAGTAGTAGAACTTCCATTTCATTCGTGCCATCTAAAATTGTGAGAGCTGTGTCAATGCAGGGGTGTTTGTGCCAGTGATGTTTAGCAGCTTAGTTCACAGCTAGTCTTGCAAAATCATTCATCGAGACTCTTGTCATGTTTTATTATATAAAATCCTTTGAATAAGAGTGGGGGAAAAAATAATCATCTCATGTAGAAGCCCAGACAGTGAGATCTTTCAGCTGGGGCCATGGTCATGATGTTGTCAGTGTTCCTGCTCCAAGGGCTTATCAGTGACTCTTGTGCAAGGGTGGCTGCTCACCTGGTCCCAGACCATACCTGGGCTTTTAAATATCACCACGTAACAAGTGACAAAGATGTCCTTTTCAGTGTAACCTGATGTAAAAGCTGTAACTTGTTATACCTCTTCCCTTTTCGAAGCTGCCTTACTGCTCCCACAGGCATACTGTTGGTGTTATGCAGCCATCTAGAGGGCCTGCTGCCTGTGCCAGCTTAACACTATTGAACAGAAAACACAAAACTGTAGGAAAACCCAAACTCTGCTGACCCTTAGTGGCCATAACTCGGCTGCAGTGCTGTGGGAATGTTTTTACAAATTCAGGACTGCTGTTCTGGTGCTGTTATGCAGTGTGTTGTCATATTTTTTTGAGGGGGAAAGGTACTGACTAACCTGTCAGGGAAAAAAATCAGGGAAGCACTGTCAGTGGAGAAGAGGATCTGGGCATCAGAGACGAGAATGTACCTAACCTCGAGATTTTATGACAGTTCCACAGAGCAAATGAAATTTGTACATCTAGGGGCTATCACAATTGACAGTGTAAACTGAAGGTGAGTCATTCCCTGGCAATGAGAGACAGAAAGAAAAACTGGAAGCAAAAGGCAAAAATTACTAAAGACCACTTGTTGCTCTGATGGATAGATGTGATTGCTGGAGACATTAGGAAATGTATGTCTGGTTCAGACAGGGAAGACAGCTCCTTGTACTGATGCGACTGATAGCATTCCCATGCAGCATTACAGGCTTGGGCCAGAGAGTCTGGAAAGTGGCCCAGTAGAAAAAGACCTGGGTATGCTGGTCATCAGCCGGCTGAACATGACCCAGCAGTGTGCCCAGGTGCCTAAGAAGGCCAATGGCATCCTGGCCTCTATCAGCAATAGTGTGGCCAGCAGGACTAGGGAAGTGATTGTCTGCCTGTACTCGGCACTGGCAAGGCTGCTCCTTGAGTACTGTGTCCAGTTCTGGGCCCCTCACTTCAAGAAAGACATTAAGGTGCTGAAGCTGAAAAGGGTCTGAAGAGTATATCATATGAGGAGTGGCTGAGGCAGCTGAGGCTGTTAAGTCTGGAGAAAAGGAGGCTCAGGGGAGACCTTATCACTTTCTATAACTACCTGTAAGGAGGTTGTAGCAAGGTGGGAGTTGGCCTCTTCTTTCAGGCAACTAGGAACAGGACAAAAGGAAATGGCCTCAAGCTATACCAGGGGAGGTCCAGGTTGGACATCAGGAAGAATTTTTTTTAATGAAAAAGGTGGTTAAGCATTGGAACAGACTCCCAAGGGAGATGGTGGTGTCACCATCCCTGAAAGTGTTCAAGAAATTACTGGATGTGGCACTTAGTGCTGTGGTTTAGTTGACATGGTGTTCAGTCAAAAGTTGGACTTGACCATCTTGGATGTCTTTTCCAACCTTCATGGTTTGATGATTCTTTGTTTCTATGCCTTCACCTGGAATATCAGACAGAAGCCTGGCTTTCAAAACTCTGGAAACAAAAAATCGAGGATGCAAAGAACACCTCAAACTGATCAGGGGAACAGAAATACTACTTTATGAGAGAGTCTGAAAGATCTAGCAAAGTAACATCTGAAAGGTTTCCCCCATTAAAAAAATCACATCACTGATGTCAAAACCAGAGAAGGTTAAGAGTCACATGGTGCCAGGTCAAATGAGCAGAGATTACCCAAACTTTTCAGGTTGGAAAATTAATGTGTTTTTAACACTAGAAGCAGTGAGGTTTATTAGCTGTGTCTGCAGTGCCAGGACCCTTGCTAAAATGCAGGTTGACCCAGGAGGGAGTTGTCAGCAGCAGCACTTTCAGCCCCATGTTCCTGTTTTGGTGGTACTGTTCAGGCCTGCTAATTTCTCAAATTCTGTCATAACTGTAAAACCAGTGTCCCTCCATTAGTGTGCCTTGCACTCTGGCAAGGATGGGGGGAAGGCTGTGAGAGGCTGTAGGTTTGTGCACCCTGCAGTGTGTACACCCTGTAGGTGCCTGTGTGCACCTTGTAGGTGTGTGTACACCCTTTGGATGTGTGCACCACGTAGCTGTGTGTACCCGCTGTAGTGTGCATACCCTCTAGCTGTGTGTACACCCTGTAGCTGTGCACACCCTTTAGCTGTGCGCACACTGTAGCTGTGCTCACCCCATAGACGTGCTCACCCCGTACCTGTGCACACACCATACCTGTGCACACCCCGTAGCCGTGCTCACCCCGTACCTGTGCTCACCCCGTACCTGTGCACACCCCGTACCTGTGCACACCCCGTAGCCGTGCTCACCCCGTACCTGTGCACACCCCGTAGCCGTGCTCACCCCGTACCTGTGCTCACCCCGTACCTGTGCTCACCCCGTACCTGTGCACACCCCGTACCTGTGCACACCCCGTACCTGTGCTCACCCCGTACCTGTGCACACCCCGTACCTGTGCTCACCCCGTACCTGTGCTCACCCCGTACCTGTGCACACCCCGTACCTGTGCTCACCCCGTACCTGTGCACACCCCGTACCTGTGCACACCCCGTGCCGCCGGCAGGGCTGCGGCGCCGCCCGGCGGCCGGGAGCGGTCGCGCAGGGCCGGGAAGCTCCGCCCCACTCCCGCCCCCCTTCGGCTGGGCGGGCGCAGCCCATAAAGGGGCCGGGCGGGAGCGGGGCGCGGGTCGTCCGTGTTGTGGAGCAGCGGGAGTGGCCGGGCGCAGGGTCACTGCTCGCCGCGGAGCCGGAGCCTTGGTCCGAGGCCGCGGCTGCCGCTCCTTCCCCTCCCGGCGGCGCAGCCCTCTTCAGGTAAGAGCGGAGCGGGGTCCCCCCTCCACTCCCCTCGGTGCCGGGTTGGCGAGAGCAGCCGGGGTCCAGCCCTGGTCCTGTTTGTGCCCCGAAGGTCTGACCAGGTACGGGCCGTGCTGAGCCCTCGGACCCGGGGCCTCCGCGGCCGGACAGGGCTCGTCTGCCCTGCCGGCGGAGCGCGGGGGCCCGAGGCCGCAGTGCCCGGTGCGGGCTGTCCCGCTGCTCGGTGCCCACCCGTCCTCCGCGGGGAAACCTCTCCGGTCCTCTCTTTGCCCGCAGGGAGGCGGCCGACGGGATCAGCTCCCGGGCCGATGCTGCTGCCGGCCTGGGAATTATGGCTCTACGGGCTCCTCACCGTGGGCTCCCACCTCTACGCGTTCTACGAAGCGCACCAAGTGTCCCGAAGTAAGTGGCGGACGGGGTCGCGCTTGCTCCGGCGGTGCTTCCCGCCCGCGGCTGGCGAGGCTGCTTAGCGTGAGTTCTGCTCTCTAGTTGGTTTCTACTTAGTTCCCTTGCGAAGAGCGCCTATGCTCTTCCCAGCTTGCCAGCCAGCCCTGTGCGAGGAAGCAGTAGGCGGGTGCCACCTGGGCAGAGAGCTTTGTCCCAGGGCTTTCGTGCCTTTGAGTGCTAGGAACGCCCATGGCAATAGTGTCCTGGCAGCTTTTTGTCAAGGAAAAGACAGGGAGATCTCTGAAGCTCAGCTACTCAGATAAAGAAAGTTCAGGCAAGTTGGGTTTGAATTGTCTTCTTTTTCCTTTCTAGTCACCTGCAGCCTCTTGCAGGTGGGTGGTTAAGAAGCATCCATGCCTTGTGATGGTGCTTTCTGGGGTCTGAACCTGGGGAGGCCCCAGGACAGGTGGATGCTCCCTGCCTGGTACTCTGGGCTCCTTTGCTGGGTTCTGGACTTGGAGCAATGGTTGGGTTGTCTGTGCAGCCTTGGAGTCAGTTTGTTTCCAGACACCTGCTTGTGCCTTGTGTAACCTCTTGGTGGTAGCTGTTGTGGTGACTTGGTTTGGATTCAGTGGAGCTGTGTAGTGCAGAGCCTGTGTGTGAGTGAACTGTATGAATGCGTCTGTAGGTGGGGTTTTAAATGATTTAAGTACAATTTGTAGATAAAAAGAAGCAGTGTTTCTATCACGTTGATATTCTAATGGAAATAAAGGTAGTATTGTAAAAGTATAACAACCTAGAGAGGCTCATTAGGGAAATATGTATTGCATCTTGTTAGGCTTTAATCAGCAAGGTGTTCTACACTAATGACCCTGCTGTCTTTTAAAAGACCTCAAGGGAAGGAGTGCCAGAAAGGCACTTGCAGAGCAGTGGAGAAAATGTTAGGTAGCTGGCTCCAGAGCTGTCCACCCATGCGTACAGCAAGCCTTCTGTAGAGGTGGCAGAATGTGATGGCAGCAGGTTCTGTAGGTGGCATCTCTGAGTGCCTTTTCCCTGCTCTGGCTGTACTGGCCACTCTCAGGTCTGTGTGTCCCTTCTGCTCTGGTGGGAGAAACCAGGTAGTTCTGAAAAAGGGGAATTGAGGGTGCTGGTTTTATGTGGTAAAAGATGGGTCACTGTGTGCTACTGTCCCTGTTGCAAGGGGGAATCAAAACACATGTTCTGGGAATTTGCATTGCCCTTGCTGTGGGGCAGAGCTGTGGCCTGGTTGGGCAGCTCAGCTTGTGATATGCCCCTCCCTGGATCTGGGTATCCCCATTGGTGGAGACGACATGGGAATGTGTTGCTCTTGAGCAGCAGAGGACCCATCCCTTACTCTCCCTGCTCTGACTGCTGTGTCCTTAGCAAAGGTTTGCTCTTCCCCGCAGAGTATGAAGCTGTGATGGACAGAATGTTTGGGCTGGACCCAGGAACTCTCTTTTGGGGCCTCAGAAAGGTAGGAGGGGTGATAGGTACCAGCATCTCTAATTTTGAGGCAATAATACGAACATTGTGTCTCCATACCTGTTGCACATCCAAGCTTCTGATTCAGCTTCAGAAGTTTGTGGTAACTTGCAGATTTGGATATTCATAGTTCACAGACTGTTTCTGGTGAGGAAAAGGGGTTGGCTGGGCATGTCTAGATCTAAGAATCATAACCAAAGTTTTGTTTCTTTTTTTGATCCCTGTCTTAAGTGTCTATCCTTTGCTACATCACTTAATAACCCTCTGTTTGGCCTTAAAAGCTTTGATCACCCTTGACACTTTCTGCAGCCTTTCCCCCCTTTTTTCTGTCACTGGGTGATTTGGATAATGCATAACATCAGTGAGCATATGTTTCTCTTGGTTGGCCTGTAGTCCAGCATAGAGTAAACAGATTTTTGAATGATAAAGTCTTAAAGAAATGTGGTTGGTATTAAAAAAAAACCAAACAACTGATAAGAAAACAACAAAAAAACCCCCAACCAAATACAGCCCCACCCCTTTGCTTGCATTTCTTCAAAAGGATATGAGCTCAAAAGCAACTAATGCAACTAATATTGAGGATTACTTGTGCCAGACCAGGAATGCATGTCTGTGGAAGTGTTTTGGATTTTAGGCCTGCCGTCACTGCTGGTAAGGGAAGCCATACTTCAAGAAAGCCAAAAAGCAATTGTGAACTTCTAGTGAGGCTCTGTATTTGACAGAGGGCTACGCTTTTACCTAATTTAGGTAAAAACCTCATGTCATGGAAACTCCAGCTGACCTGACTCCATCTGATTGCAACTAGGCTTTGTTGAAACAGGTAGTTAAACTTTTCTTCCAGCAAAATGTCTTTTCACTGGAGTTCTTGATTTTTCAAGGCAGAGCAGAACTGCTCTCTTAATCCCTCAGGAGAGATGCTGCCTGCTCAGTTTCAGCACCAGTGTGGTGTTTAGGAGTCACAACATTGTCTAAAGCTCTTTTTTTCTTGAACTTTGCACCTTTGGAAGTCAAAATGGTGCTGTCTGAGTTCACTGCTGTAGTCAGTCCAACTGTATTGCTGACATCATGTTCCTGAGATGTAGAGTTCTGTTGGGTAACACATACCTAGTGTGTTAGAGATGTTCCCTTGTTCTGTAAGAACATGCATTTATGGCCAGATACACATTGTGACCAGTTCTCTTCATGCCACAGGACCCCATGGACTTTGAGTGGAGCTACTGGATCGAATGGGGAAGGGAACGTATACTGTGGCTTCTGGCTGGTCACCTGCTGGTATCACAAGTGTCCAGGCTCCTGGTGGAGAAGGTATGTATGTATTTTCTTCACAGCAGGGAGTTTCTGTGACTTTCAGTTTACTCTGGAAGTGGGAAACTTGGCACTGAGGCCACTGAATGTATTAAATCCCACTCTGTGGGGTGAATTGTGTGAGTGGGTCTGTAACAATGCACAGGTGAGACCATGTGGATCAGTTACCTTAATGTTTTGGAGACTTCAGCTGCCAACTCGTGAAAGCCTCTGCCTTGCTGTGAACCATTAAACAGAGTCATTTCCCTTGCACATGCAAGAAGGGTGCAGTTATTCCTTTCCAAGAGTGTAAAGTGATGGCTGCTTGGGTTTTGCCATGATTGCTCGATGATTGCATGATTGTGGGAAATGATCTGTGTGGTGTCACACCTGCTAGTCTGGGGAAGGAAAGGAAGAAGTTATGTTCTCCTGCAAATTAGGGAGGCTCTGGATTTCACATGGTGCTGTTACAGGAACACCTTCCCCTTCACCTTTATGGATACTGTTGGGTTTTGTGTATTTTCAAATGTGTTCTTAACCTTGTCGACTGTATTTATCTCTACTGTAGACCCTGTGCAGGACTGCACAAGTATTGAGTGCTTTTTTTCTTTCAAAATAGCTAACAGTTGTTAATTTTTCTTTTTCTGACAGTATAAACCATGGTGCTTGATGGTTTATGGAATGGCTGCCTGCTGGTTGTTACTGGGAATCAAGGGGTTTGCTGTCATTTTGTTACATGCAGCTGTTTCATTTGCTGTGGCTCAGTTTCAGCTGTCACTCCTGACGTGGTTGTGCTCCCTTATCTTGCTGTCCACTTTACGCATACCAACTGTGGAAGAAACCAAGGTAATGTGAGAAGGGCTAATTAAGCATCAAATTAATTATGGTTGTGGTTCTCTGTAACAGCATCTACCTTTATGACAGCATATTGTCCCTTCAGTTGATGTAAGCAGGGTTTGGTTTGAAAAATCTTAGGCAGTAGAGCTGCAGTGACTTGTCCTGGAGCTTCTGCAGTTAGAAAAGTCATATCTCTTGATCGTAGTGGCCATTGCATTGAGACAAAAATATGTGCCTCAATGTGTAAATGGTATTCAGTAGAGCTGGAATATGATAATACTTTACTAGTGCTCTATTAAACACATTTCATATTCTTTGGAACTCTAATCATACCAATTTGAGGTGCTACTTTTTAGGGTTGTATCTAGGAGTTGCTCAGCCAAGCCTGCCTGTACTTTATTGGTGACTGTGGACTTCTGCAGGGAGGGAGGCTGTTCCTCCAACACTTTGATTTGTACCAGATGACTTACTTCCTCGCAACTGGTTGATGCAAGCTCAGTTTTGCTCTTTCTCTGGTGGATTTTTCTGGGTAGTACAGATTTTGGAAAAACTGTTGCTCAGTTGTGAGGAAATGTCCTTGTTGCATTTACTTGGACCAAGGGGAAAAACTGGGCATCTGTTATAAGGCTTGTTGCCCAGATGTTCGGGGAAGGGGAGATGAACATGTAGGGTCTCTTCAGGTGGTGTAGTCAGGTTTGGGCCTTGCCCTGAGGAGGAAAGGGCCCACTGCAATACAATGTAATCAACCAAACTACATTTGCTGATGTTTCCAACTTTTTTGTGATGATACATTTTTGTTGTTGGAAACAAGTGTGACACCAAGTGTCAAAAACTCAAGGGCTCAGTAACATCTTTTCAGCCTTAAGCTTTCTTTGGAGTGACTGATTCTTTTCAGACCTAGCATCAGCCCTAACAGTCCCTTGGCTGTCTCAGTAGTGTTGCCAGCTGGTTTGAATATTGTATTACTGGACCAAATCTGAGGGAGATAATGACATTTCTGTAAGAAAAGCTCTCCTGCTGTCATAGTTCTTCACAGCCTAATCTGTTTCTGAAATGAAGTTGTCTCTTTATGCTGGCTGCAGTAGCTGAGGAGGACACTTCTCCATCAACAGCCAATGCTTGTTCATGTGTTTAGTGCTGTTCACTTAGATGCTCATTCCAGCTGCCACTGGCTTTAGTTGCTTCCTGCTGATGCTGACCCCAAAAGTTAGGATCTGAGAGGACATCGCTGTTTTGCCATACAGAAAATACAGCATTGCACCATAATCATCTGGCTTTCTGTCTTGCAGAGGAAGTGGTACGACACTGAAAATGAGTATTATCTGCTGCTCTTCACTGTGTCAGTCCGCTGCCTCTTCTGCACTAGCTTCAGCCTGGAGTACTGCTGGCATGGACCTACCCAGAAGTCATCCCACTCATTCCCATGGATGCTGGCATATGTGTTTTATTATCCCACATTCCACAACGGACCCCTTATGAATTTTGATGAATTCAGTAAGCAGGTAACAGTGGTTGTTGTTTGGGTGTCTAAAGCTAACTTCCACAAAATTTTGAAATTATCAAGTAATATTATAGGAATGTGACAATTCTGAGTGCATCATTGGAAATCTGGCAATGTCCTGGATATCAAATTTTAAGACAAACCGTCCTCGAGTTCTTTCACTTCACAGGATGTTTTTATCCGACGTCAGATTCATCCCTTCAATCAGGCAGCCAGTGACATGCTTTGTTAGATTTGGAAAGTGTTCATAATTTTAACATGCAGCTGCTGGACTTGATTTTTTTTCTTCTCTGTCAGGTGGAATAAAGCATTGTTTTCAGGATAAGATTGCTATTAACTCTGAAACAGATTTCAGAGTCACAGAAAGATGATAGTTTGTATTGGAAATTCCTGAAGAGTCTAGTTTCTCCTCATATTGATGTGAAAACATGATTATTTACTTGGAGCACTTTGCTTCAACTAGGAAGCTTGTTCAATGTGTAAGACCTACTAATCTTAAGAAATGCTTTTCCTAGTCCCTTGCAGGCTGCTTTTCAAGCCTGCTTCTACATGACAGCGGAAAACTCCATATTTTCTTTATTGCTTTCCATATTGGTCGGAAAAGGGTTTCAAAGTTTGCAGTGCCCAGCAGTTGATTCAAAGTGCACGATAGAGGATGTGTTTATTGCTGCTATTTGAAAAGACTGCTCATAGAACCCTTTAAATGAAACTGAGACTGAGATGAGGGTTTCTGCTGAACACACCGGAAAGTGGAAGTTCTGGAGTTGGAGACAGTGAAACTGCTGTATGTCCCAAAGAGTGTAGTATCAGTTCTGGCAATTGGTATCCACTGCCAGGCAAAAGTGAGACACTGACACTTTGTCAATGGCCTTGTTGAATTTCTGGCTTGAAGTGAGGCATAGCAGTTCTACTCATGGCTTTGGAGGCTTGTTGTGCAAATCCCTGTAATAAAATGGTGGTCACCAAGCTTTCATCTGGTTGGTACAAACGAACCCTCCAAATGAGTGTGCGTGTTGGCTGTAATACCTGCTTGTGATTGAGAGTCCTTGCAGATGGGTTGGTTACTTCTCTTGTACATGCGTTTTTGGTGGTCAGTTAGAGACCAGAGAAGGAAATGTTGCACACAACAATAGATGTACAAAATGACTGTATTTTTAGGCAATCCTGTGTTTCTGTTGTTTGATCCTATTCTCTTTTCTTGCAGAAAGAAGGTGCAATAATAATATGCCAATGTGTTTACTGTAGTTAGCAGTGTAAGTTTGGGGCATCTTGAGAAGCATGTCAACTGCAAACCTTGTCTTATCTGGTGTTTAACTTGCACTCCCATTTGCTCAGCGTGTCATGTAGGTCTTGCTTTCTTTGGCAATGCTACAGGAGAAAAATTAAGAACTGTCTTCAAGTAATCAATTCCCTGTAGCTGTTAAAAGTTGGAGGTGTTTTAAGAGCAAGCAGTCATTGTTTCTGTGTTTGGAAGGACTGCTACTTGGAAAACCTTCTTCATAGCTGTGCTTTCTTTAATCTTTTTATATTATCTCTAGAGGCTGATCAAGTTACAGGAGTTAAAGTCTTGTGTCTGGATTCTGTTCAGGTTAACAGCACTTGACCTTTCTTACAGGAGTTTGGTGCAGTGTGTTTGTGTTTGGCTTCTTGTTGGTTTCTGTGGCTTACTGAGATTGAGAAGGGACAGACAGTCTTCCTCAAGCATATGTCAGGAATTTCCAAACGATGTAGTCAAAAAGTTCTCAGGATGAGTATTTTGATTAAAGCAGTCAGTTATGTGCCGGGTAACCTCTTTGGATTTCTTCTGTAGATGAGGAGACAAGAAGCTTTCAGTGTGAAGAGCAATCTCAGCATCTTAATCGTGGGCATAATCCGTATTTTCTTTTGGTGGTGCCTGGCTGAGCTGATGATTCATCTCATGTATATCCATGCTCTCTACAGTAGTGCTCTGCCTTTGGAGTCTGCATCCTACTGGGCCTTGGGTGAGTATAGAAACAATAGCAGAAATCTTTCTTCTTTAAGGTCCCCAGTCTACTTCTCTTTTATGTCCATCTGTAGATGCTTGAGTAGTACATTATAGCCAGCCACTGTCAGAAAGGTGGTCTACAGGCTCTTAATATAATATGTAGATGCTCTATAAGCTTAGTTGAATGTATTGAGCTGCTTCCTAAATTAAAAATATTCTGTACATTTTTCAATCTAAAGTATGTCTATAAAATGTGGTCTAAAGTGTTTCTCCTCCTCTCTTTCTCAAGTCATAGAAGTGGACACTTAAAAGAGTTTTTTTTAGTGTGGGGATGGAGGAGGAGAGATGTTAAGAATTATTATTGATCTTCTTCTGATTGATGTTTCTAGGCTGTGTTCATGTTGAAAAGGAAAATTACAGAACTCGTGAAACTAGTAGAGAGAAGGACTTGCAAATATGATGACCTGACTTTAGCAGTCAGTACCTCTCGGTTATGTTTTCCTGCTTGGCTTCCCCCACCTCTGCCTTGCCCAAGCTTCCTGATATTTCAGTAAAATGCCCAACTATGAGGAAAAAGTGCTGATAAATGCAGCATAATCCAGCAAGAGCTTTGGGTGATGGTTTGTAAACAGCTGTCATATGTGGTCGACTTGATTTCTGTTCCCTTCCCAGCTATGTGTATGACCAGGCAGGAAGAACAAAAGAAAGAAACCCCAGACCTTAAAAGCAGGTTCTGAAAAACTCTTGGTGATTTCTGAATTGATGGAGGTGTCTCTTACACCAGGGAGAAATATACACACTGGTATGGTCCTGTCCAGCGTTTGTTGAAGATTACCTATGAAGAGCAGTGTGTGTTGGAGAATACCTGTGCATTGGATGCTGGTCAGCAGAGGGCAATGTGTGCACTCTGTGTTTATCTGTAGGTGCATAAATAAACACTTAATACATATTTCAGTATGATTTTTATATCTAAAAAAGGGCAGGGGCAGATGGAGAGCAAGAAAGTGAGAGGTTTGCCTCTATGGTTCACTGTTCGTTCTATTCTGCACTCATTCACTGTTTAGAAAGTAGATTCTGAGTTCTGTTATCAATGTCAATTCATTGATGAATTAAATCTGTTCACTTCTGGTGTTTGTGTATGTGACAAAAAGCTGGCCACTTGGTAAGGCAGGCAAAGCTACTGAGTTAGGGATGAAATATTCCAGCTATGCTGCTACTGGTGAATTCCTCACTCCTTTCAAGACTGCCAATGTTGATTTTAAAGTGGAGCTGAGGGTGAATTACTTCACAGACAACACTGTAGGCTGTATATTTATTTGATGAAAAAAAGTGTGTAATCCTAAGAATTAAAATGCATTTAGATTGTTAGATGATTAGAAAAGGTGAAAATGCCTCAAAGCAACAGATGGTGAAAGCCAGTGTTAAAGCAAGTTTGGACTGTAAAGCTGTCTGACTTCAAGTCAAATGATTGTATTTTAATGAGTCGCCTGTGGAGATGCTGCTTTTAGGAGAGGTGTATTCAAAATGTAACTCTACTTACTGAGCTTCATCTTTTTAATGAAAGCAGCTGTTTAAGATATACCACGGATGAGATTTTGAAGCAGAAGTTGGTCACTAAAAGTTTTTTCTGCAGGTTTATCACTGTGGTGAGTTGACCTCGGCTGGATGCCAGGTGCCCACCCAGCTGCTCTATCGCTCCCTTTCCCAGCCATAAAGGGGAGAGAGTAAGATGGAAAACAACTTGTGGATTGAGATAAGACAGTTCATTAAAGCAAAAGCTTGCGCACCCAAAAGTGAAGTGAAAAATAACAAGGTTTGTTCCCTACTTCCCAATCAGCAGCGATGTCCGGCCACCTTCCCGAGATGCAGGGCTTCAGCACGTGCAATGGTTTCTTAGCAGGCAGCCATTGGAAACAACCAATGCCCCCCTCCCCTTCCCCAGCTCTCTTCTGTAGCCTCTGTATCTGAGCTGATGTCATAGGGTATGGAATATTCCCTTGGCTAGCCTGGGTCAGCCAGCCTACCTGTGTCCTCTCCCAGAAGGAATACCACAGCACCAACGCTGTGCTCAGGAGTAGCCAAAGCACTGGTGTGCCATCAACACCCCTCTGGCCACCAGTGCAAAGCACAGCACTGTGAGGGCTGCCATGGGGGAAATGAACTCCGTCCCAGCCAGATCCAACACAATCACAATGATTGTAGAGGTCTCCTTAGACTCAAACCAGTGATAGGCCACTGTTGTGACTTGCTTTAGGGAGCCACCAATGTATGAGTAATAAGGGTGCTAGTAATATTTTGTTAAGTCTTACTGGACCCTTATGGATCTTACCATGCTTCTACACCAGTTCTTGTACAGAGCCAAACACCCATTATTTTGCATTCTGTTTTATTAAAACCAGTTATATCAGATAACTGAGTCTTGAGACCAAGGAAGCAGCTTGCTGTTGACTCAGGAGGATTAACCACATGATATATAAGCCTTTTTGCACTGATGAGTTTTGTTCATTTTGTAGTTCATATTTAACTACAGGAACTTCAAAGCAGCATGGAGCATCTACCCTTACCATGATGCCTGGCTGCTGTGATAGTCTGGTAAACTCAGGGGAAAGACTGTGAGGCTGTTCTGCAATCACCTGTAATCAGGGAGGTTATATCTGCTCCTCCATTTTTCTTCCAGGATAACTTTGAACAATGGGCAATAAATGCCAGTAATGCAGGTAAAGACAACAGTGTTGTGAGATTTTGCTGTCAGCATCCAAGGGCAATGTCAGTCTACACTTCATGTGTGTGAAGCTGCAATTGTGTTCTATGTCACTGTGTGGTGTTCCTGTGAGGTGAGACAGCAAAGAAATAAAAAACTCATAAACCCTAAACTAAACCCGGACTGACTTACAGTGCTTGTTTAAAAATGCTAGTGTACAACATTGTCATTTATGGCCATGTAAAGCATAAATGCTGAAGGGACCTAAAGTAACATTGCTGAGGGCACACAGGAAGAAAATTAAGAGAAAAATAGTATCTGGGAGAATGTTAATTACCCAACAGTAACAGAAATATTTTCTCTTGTGTGGATGGAATTATAGGCACATGAGTTTATACAAGCAGCAATATACCAAAGTGGTATGGTTTTGATGCCTGTGTATTTAACTGTAACAAAGGTGCAAGCTGCCTTCAATATTACTGTTCATGTGCATTAGCTACTGTAAGTATATTCTGTCAATTGTATGTTTTTTGTTTTTTAGTTTTTCTTCAACTTCTAAAATTTTTAGACTTGTGTGTTTTGGCAACTAAACCAAGGGTCTTTGGTAGGTCAAATGTTGTGAGGTTCTTTTCTCTATGCCCTTTATGAACCAGTATGTGCATTACCGTACCAACACTCTTAACCTATAGGTTATATTACCCCATTCATTGCATTTCACTTGCAAATGCCTCATTCTGTGTGTTCTCCTACTTATCTGAATGTGAGCAAGTCAAAGCCAGTGCAGAGCAGAGCTTCTCCCTCTCTACAGGAAATTACCTTCTGTCCCAAATAACCCAGCTGGGTTTTTTGTTTGGTGTTCCTTGGGAGATGTATTACTGTAGTGTCTTAAAGGCACAGAGGGCATTGTAGCCTTGCTTCACTCTTTGCTTGTTGAATGAGTAGCCTTTAGTCTCTTCACTGGCTATGTAATCTGGATAGATGAAGCGTATCTCTTGAGTAAATAATGATGTGTGTTGTGGTTTAGGAACGGTATTCTCCACTTCAGTACTCCCATTAAAAGTGTGTTACTTCCCCCCCTCCCCCTCCAATTGGAAGTCCAAGAGGCAAAGATCACAGGTTGAGATAAGAACAATTTACTGGAAATGGCAATGGAATAAGAAAATGAACAGTCACAATATTAATAACAAAAGTGTACAAAAGAGAGAGTGTGGAGCTCAAGCCACATCCATGCCGCTCCAACTACTTCATCTGGCTGGGGACCAGCGTTACTCCACTGCTCTGTCCACCGCACTTGCTCAACCTGAAAGAGCCCCTTCTCCTCTGAAGTGAGAGTCCCTTTCCCCACCTCTTACAATGACCTCAGGTGGTATAGAATAACTGTCTTAGCCATGTCCCCTCCTGGCTACTGCAGAAATTAACCCTGTTCTGGCCCAAACCAGGACATGTGGCATGTGCTTTCCAGCATTGTTGGGGTACTGTGGATGGAAGCACTGCTGTCATTGAAGTATCTGTGCAATCTCTTTAATTGCTGCTTTATGCAGGTTATATTTGTAACTGGCATTATTCAAAGCAATTAACTGAGTGATAAGAGTGTTGGGAATTGTGAACAGAAGAGTGAGGACAGTGTATGTTTAGGTTGTCTAAAGGTAGAACCTTCACTTCTCTCCCGGTGCCCCCTGTTTCCCTGGATTACTGCTATCCCTATGTTAGCTTGTGCCTGGCAGCTGCCAGTAAAGACAGCTTCTGTGCCTGCCCTGTGGATCGGCATGCTATGGATGTACATTATAACCAACCTGCCCTGAGAGAGTGCAGGTTGCATCCCTCTGTGCATCAATCCTTTAATGAGTAGAAAGTGTCTTGTTGTACTATGCCTCTTAGATTTTGGGGGGGTTAAATTAGAAATAGTTTGAGTCCTAATTGGAGGGTCCTCTGAAAAACAGCAGTTTTCCTAAAGCTATTTTTCATGTTATGTAGAGGAACTTCTCTACTAAGAGAGAAAATGAACATTCATTATTTAAGCTCTTCAGCTAGAGAGTATGAAGTCTATTGTTAAATTTTTTTCCATGTTGAAGACATTTTGCTGGCTTTCTGACCTTGAGATGAGAAAAAGCTTGTTGCATCCACATCTTACGTGGACTAAATAAAATAAGAAAATATTACGGATCTGTTTTCAGGGTATCCCCTCCCCTACTCAATACCAAAATCCCCATATGCTACACAGATGTCAGAATTTCTTCTACCACATATTCTTCCTCATGTTTAAATTGTTTCCTTTAACATTCTGCACATACTTCTTTAAACTTGCATGTTTATAT